TAACCAAAAAAACAATTGTTGCTCACTTCAAAACGAAACAAAAAATTCGAAGGTTGAATAACGGCGTAATGCGCAAGCGCTTCAACATAAAATTAATGAATTTTGCATTCAGACATACACGGTGCAGTAAATTCTGAATAAAAAATTCTCATTCAGAAAATGGACGGAAAACTGGCCCGTGTCATACGGACTAAGATGCTTATTTTATTAATCAATGCATACTGTAAAATTTTTGATTTGAGTGAACCCTGCAGGTATTATAACTAACTTGAGTCTAGCATTTGGTAAAAAAGTGTCTGGCAAGGCAATATTTAATAATGAGAAAGTTATCGATTTATAAAGCCCTATTTTGATCATGCGATGGTTGACAAAGGATTTGCCATTTGCAAGCAATGTTTAGAAGCAGGAATAACATCAGTTCGTCCTCCATGAGAAAGGTGAGGATTTTTACTAGCTGCATACACGTAACTGATCAATAGAATGAAGAGATTTTGTATTTCGTGTAAATTTTTTTAATTATAAATCGCAAAGCGCTTTCGGCTAAAAAGCCATCATCAGTGCTATACCTGCAAGTAAGTAACATTTATGAAATTTCAAAAACAAATCTAAAAAGGTAGATTACTTACTCGTCAAGTATTTACAAAAAGGTCCAAAAATTAGTGATCACAAACATCATTATGGTACAAACGGGATTATGAACAGACATACATTTAACAAAATTGTTCCCTAAAGGGTTATTGTAAAATTTTTTTTTTTTTTTTTTTTTTTTTTTTTAAAAACATGTTGAGATTGTTTTGTTCAAGTCCACAAATAGCACGAGGGACCTTAACCTTATTTATTCTGGAAAATGTTTGATAATTTTTAACCTTAGTAAAATGTTGACAATGACTGAGTGTCAATGTCTATGACTTAGTTAACATGTGTATGAAGTAGACAAGTGACATAATGAAAGAAGCGCTTGGGAAAGAATTGACAAGGTGAGCAGAAAAGCTGTCTGAAAATTTTGAAACATTCTGAAAGGTAAAATAAGATGAAGTGGACTTCAATCCAGGCCAAAGAGTAAACCTTTTTTTTAGTAAAATTGAGAGAAAAGAGTTTCCAATCAAGACTTAAGAGTCCTAGTGTCCAAACTGGAAGTCCAAGGAGAATTCCTGTAGACGAATGCCTCATCAGAAGCAAACATACCACCAGAATACCTCCAGACCCAGAACGAAGGCCGAACTCAAGTCTCAAAAGTAAGCCGGATCCTGAATGCAATTTTGTTGTGTTGGGTGAAAATTAAAGAGCAGGACTTCCATTTCGGACTCAAAAGTCCTAGTGTTCGAGCCGAAGATCTAAGGATGCCCAACCCAAGTTGTGAATCCACAAGAGAATGACAACATCAGTTGAGCCTCCCGACCTCAAGCGTAGACCGGACTCAAGTCCGAAAAGTAAGCCAGATTCAGATACTGTTCCGGATTTCGGCTTCAACAAGTCTGAATCTGGCTTACTTTTCGGACTTGAGTCCGGTCTACGCTTGAGGTCGGGAGGCTCAACTGATGTTGTCATTCTCTTGTGGATTCACAACTTGGGTTGGGCATCCTTAGATCTTCGGCTCGAACACTAGGACTTTTGAGTCCGAAATGGAAGTCCTGCTCTTTAATTTTCACCCAACACAACAAAATTGCATTCAGGATCCGGCTTACTTTTGATACTTGAGTTCGGCCTTCGTTCTGGGTCTGGAGGTATTCTGGTGGTATGTTTGCTTCTGATGAGGCATTCGTCTACAGGAATTCTCCTTGGACTTCCAGTTTGGACACTAGGACTCTTAAGTCTTGATTGGAAACTCTTTTCTCTCAATTTTACTAAAAAAAAAGGTTTACTCTTTGGCCTGGATTGAAGTCCACTTCATCTTATTTTACCTTTCAGAATGTTTCAAAATTTTCAGACAGCTTTTCTGCTCACCTTGTCAATTCTTTCCCAAGCGCTTCTTTCATTATGTCACTTGTCTACTTCATACACATGTTAACTAAGTCATAGACATTGACACTCAGTCATTGTCAACATTTTACTAAGGTTAAAAATTATCAAACATTTTCCAGAATAAATAAGGTTAAGGTCCCTCGTGCTATTTGTGGACTTGAACAAAACAATCTCAACATGTTTTTTAAAAAAATTTTACAATAACCCTTTAGGGAACAATTTTGTTAAATGTATGTCTGTTCATAATCCCGTTTGTACCATAATGATGTTTGTGATCACTAATTTTTGGACCTTTTTGTAAATACTTGACGAGTAAGTAATCTACCTTTTTAGATTTGTTTTTGAAATTTCATAAATGTTACTTACTTGCAGGTATAGCACTGATGATGGCTTTTTAGCCGAAAGCGCTTTGCGATTTATAATTAAAAAAATTTACACGAAATACAAAATCTCTTCATTCTCCATGAGAAAAGCAACTCAGCTCAATGAATAACAAGCAGAAAATACAGCTGGTATTGCAAGAGCTAGGGTGCATGTGGAAAATATAATTCAACGTTTGAAAGCATTCAAAATATTTAGAGAAAAAATATCATGGAACTTATTGACACACATTGATGACATAGGTGTTATTTTAGCAGCACTTGTCAATTTATCAAATCCAATTTCGGCAGATAACTTATGATCATTATTGAAGCAAAATAAATAATTCTAAACATTATTTTTCACTATCATTTATTAACTATATTTGTTATCCTTTCAGAGGAGTATGTCACGAATGGTTCAAATCTTTTATAAGTGATAGGAAACAGATCGTGAAATCAAATGGGAGTCTGTCTGACATCAGGGATATGACATGGGGACTCCCACAGGGATCTGTCCTAGGTCCAATTCTCTTCCTCTTATATTTAAATGACTTGGCCACTGTTCCCATTCAGGGAAGATTCACCATGTTTGCTGATGATACCACCCTACTATGGCACGGAAAAAATTGTGACATAAGAAATAATATCGCTAGAGACTTGGGAACGGTTCAGCAATGGTGCGAAGCTAATTATCTGTCTTTTAATCACAAAAAACAAATATAATGGGCTTTAGTTTTGACTGCAACAATTTCAGCTTGAACGGAAAAATTCTAGATAACAAAAAGTATACAAAATTCATAGGAATAACTTTAGATGAGAAATTGAAATTTGATCAGCATGTTGCAGCAAAAAAATGGCATCCGGATGTTATGCTCTTAGAATTGTCACTAATGAATTGAGTTCATCTACAGCAAAGATGGTCTATCACTCTCTGATCGAATCTCATATGAGATATGGAATAGCTTTCTCGGGATATTGTAGCCAACAACTTTCTCAATCAGTGTTTATACTGCAGAAACGTGCTATAAGGTACTTAGGCAAGATAGGTATTCGAGAGTCATGCACTCATGCAGACCACTGTTTTCAAACTTAGGAATTCTCACTCTGACAAGTTTATTCATATTGGAAACAGTATGTCTGATTTACAAAAAGTATATGGCTGAGACTACAGTACAAACAAATCATGTGACCCGACAAATAACAGAGAGGAAAATTGCTCTACCCATTCCAAAATCCAGTTTGACAAAATTTTCTTTGTTATTTGAAAGTAAAAAGATTTATAACCATATACCAACTGAACTAAGAACTATGAAAGATCATAGTAAATTCAGAAAACTGGTGAAAGATGCCCTTTTGAAAAGAGCCTACTATGATATTGAGGAATTTTACAATGAAACTCTGTTATGACCTCAACATGTACTACTCCAAATAGTATATATTTTATTGATCTGCTTTGACAATTGTGCACTTCAATTTTTAATGTGTACTGTTTATTGTCCTTTTACACTCAATAAGTTTATAATTTTTTTTATATTATTAATTTAGTTGTATATGTTTATGTTATGTTATAGCTATATTAACTTTTTTGAATGCTATGCTTTGTCAATAAGAAATACTGTTTCTTAGACAATAAAGTATATTTCTCTCTCTCCTACTACAATAAACCAAGACCACTATCCTAATACAATAATACAATACATGCACTTACTGATCATCAAAGCGATGGTAGCATATTACAAAAATATGATTCCTGTAATTTGAGGAGCATTTGGAAAATGAATGCTTCATCATACGATTCCTCCAAAATGATACATTTATTATCATGTGAAGTATACATTATAAAATGACAGTTTGCTATATTCAAAATAAACATTCCTAATTGAATTTGCCGATAGTAACTATGTTTTTGTTTCAATCTATATATGTCATCCACAAAATAAATATATGGCAATATGGTTAAAACACAGCTGCGCTCATGTTTCTGCCAATCACAAGACAAAGGTAAACAAAGCAGAGAATTCTTTGAAATATTACCTGTTGTTGTTCATACAGTGTCTTCATTTCCGAAAAAAATTGGATGCATGAAATGTTGCACATTTTTTTCCCAATCTGGATCCTTATTTTTAGAATAACTATTTAATGCATAAAATATGCTTCCAGTGATTCTAAATTCGGTATTCTTTCCACAGTGAATCATTTTGACCCTTTGTCTTGTTGAAAAAATGAATACAATCAGTTTCGTTTTTCAAAACATTTCTTCTATAAATGTCTGTTCCTACTGGAGGCATATATTTTTCCAAGGATACTGCTATTTCATGTTGTTTTGCCACTAATCTGAAAATATCTTCAGCAGGAGCATACTTGGTACTTTCTGCTAATGGAAAAGAGGTTGCTTCATTTTCTTTACTGTTCGGTGCTGACTGTCAATGCGTGTTGACTAGATGTTGTAGGCAGTACAGACACATCATCATGTTCATCACATATTGGTGAGCTTTGTGTCACTGTCCTTACTTTAGAAAATTTAGTTAGGGCCGAATTTGGTTTACCTGGAATGTGTTTCATTATTTACTATAATTGTAATTACATTAGAAACTGTGGAAGTAAGTAAACTGACATCTCAAAAAGGCATCACAATTTTTCTGCTGTCCTTTGCTGAATCTTTGCCCCACTGTTGAACTAAGTCTGTACAGGTGATTTATCGAAGTCATCTCTAAAATAAAAACACTGAATGGGGAACAAAAAAAAATAGATACTAATTACCTATTGATGTACAACAACACTCGAAAGATGTGTTTACATCTGGACCTCAATCCAGCCTTAGAAGGACATGTACACATCCAGTTCAAAGGATCATCATTGAGGTGGATGGTAACAACATGAGGATCTTTTTCTATGGCCGAAGACTGTACCACATATGCATGAATATATTGTTCCTTGTTGATACCACACTTCATAATATGACATGCAAGCATTAAGGCTTCGCCCTCGCGTAATGGGAGTCGGCCATCTCCAATATATTTGAGAATATCAACCAATGTGATCACCACACGCATGTCTATTCTTCTCACTATTCGACTACAAATTGTTTCAAATCACATAAACATAAAAAACACACAATACTTGATGAGTATTCACAGGAGAGTAAATTATATTTTATTTAATCGTTAACGCAATGTAAACACACTAGACTGATAAGCACAGATCACGTCTTCACCGCCACTTTTGTTGATTTTGTTGACATCGGAGCACGCAATCTATCGTAACTGTAATTTCCCAATGGTTTTGTTTGGTTTGTTGAGAATTGAACAAAGCTAGTAAAATGTGAAAAATAAATAATCTCAGCTTCTAGGCACTAATTCTCCAGGGTTAGATTAACAACTTATTCACCTTTTCCCAAGGCGCAATTCCTTTGAATAATACAACACACTATACCTCACTGCTCTTGACCATGACGAATCGACGGCGGTCGGTAACCTCTACACAGAACTCTATCGGCGCGTCTGGTGTTCCTCCTAAAGTTGGGTCACTTTAGGCGTCAAAATTCAATATCTTCCAAGCTATTTTTTTTTTTCGTTTCGTGTTGTCGCCTTCTATTACTGATTTCAAGGATCGCTCTAATTTTGGAAACACCCTGTATAATTAAAAATTTCCGCAGGCGCAACATTGTCCAGTTCACATTGAAAAAATCAAAGATTTGAACATGATGAGAAGAGTGACACTATTACCCCTAGTCTAAGAGCCCACGGGGTTAAAGGGACTGCAAATATGATTGCAAAATGCCATATAGAAACGTCCAAAACCGCTTTGTTACTGACATACAGAGTGATTTGTTTATTTTGGCAAAAAATTCAATATGTCATATTAAATACAGGGATCAACGATTGGGTTTGAATTTGGTACAAGAATTAAAATGAAAGGCTTCAACAAGCAGCCATTTGAACGAAACCAACATCAGGACCGGAATGTTTTTTTCCTGTTGAGTCATTCTGAGAATAACTCACCCTGTATAATAGTTATCAAGAATCTGAGCTCATATTATAAATCTACGGAAAAAATACTATAGGAACTTGTTGAAAAAGTTTATTGCATTATTCCATTTATTCAGTAATAATTTTTTTTTCATTCATTATCGGATAAAATATCATCAGAAATGGAAATATGATAAATATTTACAAAACCAAGACATAATTGTTGTTATTCCTTTTGATTAAATAGTTTAATAATTACTCTCGCAACCTAAAAAAACTAAAGAATACATATCAGGACCGGAATGATTCTATTTTTGGTCTTGTAAGTATAACTGACCTAGTATAATAATTAACATTAGTCTGATCGTAGATTCGGAATCAACAAAAAAAATCGTATAGGAACTTGTTGAAAACGGACTGGACTAAATTTTTCTTGAATTATATTCGCTTACGATTAATTATTTTTGTAATAAACAAAAAATTAATGAATTCGTAAAAAACGAGTTTTTTAGTTTTTGAGAGTAATTTATAAAATATTACTACGAAGTTATGAAAGAGAATAACAACAGTTATGTATTGGTTCAGTAAATATTTATTATATTTCTAATTTTGATGATATTCTATCATCCGACAATAATTAATGAAAAGAATTAAAATAATAATTTATTATGGAATAACTGAAATAGTGCCAAAAACCCTTTCAACAAGTTCCTATAGTATTTTTCCCGTGGATTCATAATATGAGCTCAGATTCTTGATAATTATTACACAGAGTGAGTTATTCTCACAATAACTCAACACAGGAAAAAAGGAATATTCCTGTCCTGATATTGGTTTCGTTCGAAGGGCTACTTGTTGAATCCAATCGGGTAATCCTTGTATTCAATATGACAGATTGAATTTGTTGTCAAAATTCACAAATTACTCTGTATGTCAGTAACGAAGCGGTTTTGGACATTTCAATATGGCATTTTGCAATCATATTGGCAGTCCCATTAGTTTTGTCGGTTTCATCTCTGGACACTCTGTTCATCATCTGGGACGCTTATCGAACTAGGTTTTGTGTCGTGGGCTCTCCTACTACCCTGAGTATGTGAATGTGAATAGATTGAATTGCCATATGTTTTTCAAAAAAAAACTACAATACATAACCTAAAATCTGAATCATAAGAATAAACCCAAAAGAAACATCAAGTACACGCCAATATAATAATTACCTGATAATTGAATATTGTTATTCTCTCGCAATTTTCTGTAGATAGGCAAGCATTCGCTTTTACGAGGACCCGGCACAAATTTGCATTACCCTTCATGTACGCCAAGAGTAGAGGCGAATTACCCTGAAACAATAATCACATTAAATTATCCTGATAACTGGATATGTCTCAATAATGGATTATAGAAAAAAGAAATGAACACTCAGGTCTAGTTTCAACAGATTGTATTGTTCTTACATGTGCAATGATTCTATTTGGAATAATCCGTCATAATGATGGATACGATACGGAGTGGGCATGTACAAGTTCAAGTTTTTCGCAAAATGTTCCATTTTATCTGTGTATATTAGTGACGTTTATTCCAAATGTACTTGGTTAATTTGCTTTTCCGATAAATAGTGTTTCCATTCACACTGATCGCTTTTGTTTCAATGTATTCAATTCGAATTATTCTTTACATGTTTACAATGAATTATCTACTTCGTGACATGAAATTTGCAGCTATATGATTTCAAAATTCCCGCCTTGTTCGACTGTGAAAGCTGACATGCGCAATAATGATCTTGGACTCTCTGAGAGATGCAAATATATTGCCCTCTTTGTTAAATGTTTGCGTATCTTCCACATACAGTTGACATAGGTGTATAACAGTTCATTTGAGCAAAGCAAGATCCTGAATGGTCTGAGCTTTATTCTAACAACCCTCTTCCTCTATGTTTATGTTTCTAAACTTCTGATTGCCATGATACCATGAATTCAGTACTACATACCATAATATCAGAAGTATTGATCGGATAGTTGGCCATGCACTCCAAGAACAGTTCACAAATGGCAGCTGCATTTTCTTTACCATATTTACTTAATTCGTGTAGTGGATTGCGGCCCTAAAATTTAAAATAATAAACTATTAGTAATGACATTTTTGAACAAATTGTTTAATAACAAACCTTCAAATTGAAAGCCTCTGCATCAATTGTAGATTCTGTTAATAATATTCGTATAACGTTGAGATGCCCTTCTCTTACAGCAATGTGTAGCGCATTGTCATTTTCCACATCTACAGCATCTTGATCAGCATTGTTTTGTAATAGTGCAGATACTGCTGAACCATTTCCAGCTTCTGCAGCTATATGAAGTGCAGTACGTCTGTAAAATAATGATTACAATGGTAAGGTCCTACAAGCCATAATCTTTGGACATGAATTCCCCAGGGCCGGTTGCATAAAACATTAAACAGACAATCGAATAGTTAAATCGTTTTCATTCATGGCAACACAGGCCTTAGCCAATGAGTTGATCAAACTCAATTATATAAGTATGGATAGTGGTCTATATCATGTATGGAAATATACAGTTCTCAACACACTAAATGGACCACTCATAATTTGACTCTATTTCGAAGACCTGTATTTTCTAAAAAATTGACCGATCTTCATGCGGTTTTCGATATCAGATGTGATATTTCATCGGCTTCAAAGAGAGCTGGAACACTCTGAAGAAGTCCGCAGAACAAAACTTACACAAGGTGTAAAGTGGAACCATTACACTTTGGTCTACATTTCCAATGCTGCCAGAATTCGATAAATTTTTTTCTGATCAAAAGTCAGTCATATTATGATACCCTGGGACTTCATCTCGGGACGTTTTCGAGATTTCTCCTTAATTGGCCATTGGAACAAAAATTCGATTTTTTTTCGAAAGTCTTGCATTTCTTGAACTTTTTCTCTGGAACTCCACTTAAGCTGACTATTGGGGAGATCTATTCTCATGTTTTGTGGAGGACAATGAAAGACAAAAAAAACACTTTTTTGGAATATACAGGATGATAAGAAAATAGGACAAAATCTCATTTCAGTAAAAAAAATCAAAAATGGTGACTAAAACTATGGCCCATTCGATTCAGTATATTCAGAAACGGCCTTCTCGATATCCATTATTTATATTAGACTATTAACTCGAGACGTTTTCGAAAATTTGCCTCTGCTTAAATTACAGGATAAAAATTTTCAATTCAAACTTGTTTCCTGATATCGATGATTTCCAATATTCATTGCCCAAGTATGAGACACAGAGTATTGTTGTTCAATATACTGAGTGTTTTACAACTTATCTGACAAATTTCAACCACAACTATGATATTACATAAGAAGTCTATCACAAAAAATTTTTTATAGAAGTAAAACGAGATGGAAAATGAAATTTGTAATACTTTATATCCACTAAAACTATTCGAAAAGGGCTCTATTAGAGAAATATGACATTAGTGAATTCTTCAGCATTATGAAGATCCAACTAGAAAGTCCTATATCCTAAATTTCAGTACTTGGTAGGCCTCCCCGATTTAACAAAACCTCATGAAATCGGTTTGGCATAGATTCTATGAGGTTGTTGATTGATATTGATATTGTCACAACAAACGAGTTGTGTTTCCACCATGTTACGATATAATCGGTGGTTAGCCCATCCATTATCGATTTATATAAGGGGTAATGCTTGGCTTAATATTCTGCGAGAGGTAAAATGTGAATAGGCACTAATAGTTTTGGGGTAACTGAAAGTACGAGACTACATTCAAACATAACAATATATATTATAGCATGAAACATTATGGGTGAAGTGATTATAAATATGAGTAAACAACAATGAAATAAAGACCTAATAACAACTTACATTATAGATACCATAACGACGAGCTCTTGTCAAGTCAAGAGTAGCCCCAGACCAGACTAACTTCGGAACCCTCACATCCAAAATTTATATACATCATTTTATTAGAAATGCACGTTTCTCATGAGCGTTCCTTGGTCAGTTTTTATAATTCAATGTCAATTGATGATTTGAATAATTTTATGTTTATAAAACCCTCATGGTTACAAATTACTAATATACTGTATGTTCTACTCGTGACATGACCCCTCTCTCCGAGAAAACTGGACCCCAGTTTTGAAATTACTACCTAACTTAAATATATCGAGGAGAACATTTAAAATTCATTTAAATATACAAACAATTTCAGAAAAAAAAAATATCCACAAACATCAAAATTTAGTGTCTACAATGCACACTCACACCTTTACTAAGTCCGGCACTGGCTATTCAACAAAAGCATTTCAATCAGACTCTTCTCGGTGAGACTCCTGGCAGCTTGGGGGTAGGGAATGATGATTGGGCATGGCATCCTCCAATCGTCATGGGAATTTCGCCAGGATCCTTTTGGGCTCGAAGGTATCCTTGTCCTGGGCATCGGGAAGAAATCTTTCGGGCTTTGAGATTTCCTAGACTGTCATTCGAGGTAGTTGGCAGATGAACGATGGAGACTGCTGGCTTCTTGGGGTAGCGACTGACGACTGATGGTCAAGGCATCCTTCAATCGTCATGGGAATTTTGACAGGATCCTTTTTGGGCTCGAAAGGTATCCTCGTCCTGGGCATAAGGGTAAAATCTTTTTGGGCTTTAAAGATTATTGGGCTTCTCTCGTTCTGGGCTGATACTCTGAAGTAGGAATCCTTTGGGCTTCAGGATATCCTGGCTTCTAATATTGGCCTGTCTCTTGGGGGTAGTTGGCAGCTGAGTGAGAAGAATTGCCAGCTATCTTGGTAATTGTTGTGATAACTGGTAGACCACTTGGTCCATGGGAGGAACGTTGATCTGAGGGAGGAACGATGGATTCCCGTCATATGAGAGGTTGCTCAGGCATCTCGTGGAACGAATTTCGTGAAATTTCTACGTTTCTCCTCTCCTTTCCTGGGCTACCCAGCAGCTACCATCGAATCATGCTGTTCCTTCAAACAGTTCTTGTTTGTCCATATGGCTGCGTATGGCTGCATCCCCCTGGGTGTCTGATCTCTTGATGAGTGCTATATGTATGCCAGTGCTCAGTGTGCGTGCATTGTTTTGTGTGATTCCGTGAAAACATGCAGAAAAAATTGATTGTCAAATACCTATGTTACTATATTTATATTAAAATGGGGAATTTTTTGATAACTCTATATATTATCAAATGAATAGTTCAAATTACCTATACTAGAATATGATGAGCCTATTGTGAGATCTATTATATGTATATAACTACTTTATTTAAACTCCATAAATATGGATCCCAGTTCAAGAATCCGTCCTGATTCACATTGATTTATTTCATATATTTGTTGATATTCAATTAAATCATGCGTGTTTCGAGTAATCGATTATACCTACTCAAACTATTTTATTTTCAAAAAATCATAAATAAATACCTAATATTTTGAAACGTATCATAAATGTTCGATTTTCATATTAATATTTACACGTGCTTTCATGCGTTATGTCATCATTTTTTCAAATAATGATTCATTATAGCAGGTAGGTATTCACTTATAAAACCAACCATTAAATCGAAAACAAATTCCTAACATTGTATACCTATATATCAAATTACACTCGAGGTTCAAGTTCATGATTATTTACATTAGCGAGTTTGTCAAAATGCCTGCTATATAATTTAATCATGACTAGTAACCTAGTAACCAATATTAGAATAAGAAATTTGCTGAAAAGTTTTCGTTCATTTTTAGGGAAATTTGATAATCGTAACTACTTTCTTTAAAAATCAAAAACCAAATCATGGAAAGTAGTTTCCTAATTAAAAAAATTGAAGATTGATTGAATGAACAAAAAATTAATTATATAAGTTACCTATACCTACTTGCATATTTTTTTTCCCTATGCGAAATTATGAGGAATATTTTATAGGTTTCCATTCGATTCAGTAATTTCAATCATTTTGGTGGTGAGTTATCTATACTTTGGAATTGAACTGAAAATAACTGCCATCAGTTCTGCCAATTGAAAGTTAATCAAATCAACAAGCGCATGAATCGAAATAATGGTAAAAAATTAACTTGTGTCATGTGAACAAACCAACGTGCCTTTTCGTTAAAAAATTTCAATTAAACAAAAATTACCTATCTGATAAATATACAATCCAAATTATCACCATGTTATTTCATACTTATTGATCATTTTTGACATTCCAGGTCCAATCCGTAAGATTTAAAAGGATATTCATCTGACAACTCATTATTGGCAGCTTGAATAAACTGATGAAACGTCCGAGAATTGGTACTTTCATGTACTTTGAGCAATATTTTGACTCAAAGGCCCTTGAGATTATTTATTGTTTAATATGAAATATTATCAGAACTTTATTCGATTTATTTATTTATCTTTGGTGTAACCTGTTACACAATGAATTGGCGTTTATTCAATTAAAAAAATATATCAATTCCCCTATTCACCATGTTTCGATGAATTCAAGTAGTAAGATAGTTTATTATAAGAAAATTGAAAAATATGTTGTAATATTTCATCACTTATACATTATTGAACTGATTGAAAATACTCCTTTCAAATACCGCATGCTCATTCCTCCAATTTTGTTAGAACTAGACCGTACATTTCTTTGTCTAACAACTCGCAAATATTTTCTATCTTTGGAAAATCATCCCCGGGGGTAAATATCATTATAATCATCTTCATAATTCATAAATATACATTATCATCATATACGAGCTCATTATTTCACATAAACTCATCATTTCATGTCCTATCAATTCGAGGACAAAATATCTTCAGTAAGGTTAATCCTTCATGCCTTAGTGTGGCACATCTTCCAGGATTCCCTCCTATTTACTGTTATAGTGCATAATTCCAACTATAACACTTCGTACTTTTTAGAATATCAACCAAACAGCTACTTCTCTGGCTGTGGTTTGGCTAGGACCACGAGATATGCTGAATAGGGTGATGATTATTCTGTACGGGAACGGTTTTCACTTGAAACCAAGTAACAATCTCTTCATTGAGAGTTTACATACACATCAATATTCTTGAGCTCAATTAATTCATTTCATATCATATTTCCATAACATAATAATATCATATTTGCGTATACTTCATTTTGGGAGGAGTGATAAAAAATGGTAAAAGATACAAACGTTTACGAGTATTTTCAATATTTGAAAGGTCATATATATACTGACTAAGATATTTTGAATCGGAACATTCTCAAATATTACTTGAATTATTAATTATTTGCATTCGCACTAATATTGAAATTTATTATGAATTATATCGAGCACGACGATTTGTTATTATTGTTTTCATTT